TCCCTAGCGAAGTAAATTTTTTTTATTGTTAACATTTACTAATAACTTGTTATATGACTGTAAATAATATAAAAAATATTAAAAATTAATTTTAAACAAATTTCTTTACACATTATTCTTTCACAATTGCAGTCATTTTGACTGCTTTGGGCAATATAGGTATTATACTAAGTTTCAGTCTTTCTAGTGTTAATATCTTCATATTATATGTATAACAATTTTTGTTAATACAATTTTGCTACTTAGACTATTTTCATAATAAAAGAGAATTATTATAGGTATTAAGTATAATGTTCCTGATCAAATTTTGAATATCTATAAACGCAACACTTGTTTCGAAATTATAATATTCACCCCCGAAGTTTGCTAGTCGCACTGCGGTCAAGCACAACTCATTTTTTGGCTAGTCATGTTTCGTTGAGGATTGCGCATTCCGAACGAATACGAGTATCGCACAGCTGAAAACTTTCAAGTAATATTAAACACCTGTCAAACTGCTGCGGCCGAGGGTCGGGGGATGAATTCGAGTCGAGCTAGCCCGGCCGATGTACGATTTTCAACCGGTGGGCCACGCGAAATGGAGTTACGAGTGCTTCCTCGGGATATTATGTTTGAGTTTGGCCCGTAATATACGCTCGCGCCCCCGTAAGTCCGACCGGAAATGTAACCTCATCGCGAAAATCCGAGCTTTCGACTGTTAATTGTATCGCGAAGAAAGAAACAGATTCTGGTTAACTAGTTCGCCGAAATTACTTGCAGTTTAGAAATGCGAGAAATAAAGATTTATTAAGAGGGTAGACTCCGACAGCGGCGTGATAAGGCAGAGAAACTAAATTAGCCCATTAAAGTAGCCAAAAATGTAGGTTTACACAATTCGTTTCTATGTCTTTATTTCTCAGAGAAAATTAGTTTTAATGTTTAGTTATATTTAGGTATATTTTAAAACGCTCTGATCATTATAAGAGATATTATGCCGATACTTAATAAAACAAGTGTTACGAACTGAAGCAAAAGTCGTAATTACTACACCTCGGAGTTTAACCACTCTTATGGCAAAGAAAAGTTATTCTGAATGGGATGAAGATCAGAGTGCTCTAGGTGTAAGTTTCCCGAAAAAGTACTTGATGATCCGGACATCTTTTAACTTAAGGACGAAACATTGATTTTTTGTTAGATCCATATTTTACACTATTTTTGCCAGGTTATTGGTAAAACAGAACTAGAAACGTCGTTCGACAAACATGTGTCAAACATGTAAACAATTACCGAAACGGTTATCCGTAGTAGAACGTACAATTATAGGACTGTCAGTCCCGATAGTTTTAGGAAAACATCTCGTGAACAAAAGGAGACCTTGCATACACCGTATAGAAGAAATGTGTTTAAAATCACGACTCCATCGACATTTTAAAAAATCAATGAAGTCTGTGAGAGCACAAACTCATAATGCCCAAACTTCAATAACCTCTTAAGTACGAGTTTTCTAATTCGAATATTTATTGCTAAACACACGAAATTAGTAATTTATCATATTTAGTTAAGTAATTAATTATTTTAATACGTCACACAATATATCAAATAAATGATTTTTGTTTTTGTGTTTTTTGAAAAATTTTTTTTTATTTAAATCAATCTTGCATCTCATTCGATTAGATTATTTGCGCTTTATGATGCGCATTTTTACATTTTCTTAATGTGTTACGTATTTTTACGAAGGAATCGAACTTGGCAAGAAAAAGAGCGGCCGACTAATTGAAGTATTTTAATTATTTCGTAGCGAGCGAGAAGAGGAAGTTTTCGAACAAGTCGCCGGTTCAGCCAGCCTGGGCGTTGATGTTTCAAAACAGGACTCGGTGTAAGACAATTAAGCTCGTAATTTAAGCAATATGAACTTTCGTAGTTAATGAGGATCGCACGGTTGGCAATTAATTACAACCGGTTGGACAAGCTGTCTCATGTGTGTGTGTAACGCGAAAGAAATCCATTTAAATGAGGATCTCTTGTGTTACGTCGTTGCTTTCTCCGAGCTCGGTCCATGCAGTGTAATTTAGTTGTGTTTTCACGGCGAGTGCGATGTTTTTGAGACTCGGTATCTTAATACTCCAGGAACTTTCTTGTTATAGCCATCCAATGACAAGAATGTTAGCTTTACAATTATTATAATTATTCTGTTAGTTGTAATTACATTTCACGTATCCAAAACGTACAAACGGAGAGGCTACAGAAAAGTCGCAATTACAATGCAGTAATAATGTGAATCGCGCGTTTCCCTAAGTAAGAAGTAGCTCCTTGAAAACCCGATTTGAAACTTGTAACCGTGGTTCAAATTACGCCATTATATATTTTCCTAGCCATAAAACCGTCTTAAGTATTTGGATCACGTGAACGGCAATTTCTTACGATCCTTAATGATCGGTTCTTTAAAATCACGCACTTGATGCCCGATACGCAGCAAAAATCGCACGACACGAAGCTGTACGGTAATTCTTGGATGGTGTCACGCGAATCGGTGGCGAAGGGGGGGGATGGGGTTGCAGTCACCCCTAAACGTGGTCGGGCCTGATGTTAAGCTCGGGCTTTCTCGGGTCTAACACGTCGTAGAACGAGTACCGCAATTTATCTCTGTCACCTGTGTACGTCGCGTAGACACACGCTCGATTCGGGCACGGCACCGGACCGTTTGTAGCTTCGATTCCGTCATTAAGGCAGCACTCATGGTTTATTCAGATGACCACACTGGAGAGGAGGACCGGAGAGAAACCCAAGCGGATCGAAGCGGAGACGACGACGAGGCTTACGCGGTTCTCTAGAGTCACTTGCTCATTCAGTTGATTACGTCGACCCATGAGTGTATGGCTCCCTCCTAGGCCCGAACACCCTAATCCGACCGTTGCCAATGGCGAAATGCCCTTAAGGTGTTTGCTCCGAACATCCAACGCGATTCTCTCTCTCTCTCTCTCTCGCATTCTACTTCTTCCTCTCTACTAGTTTTTCTACCCTTATCGACATCGATCACGCTCGGTTAACAAAGAAAGTATCGTTCCTTTTGTTCCAACACATGTTCTTTTAAGGAACTGCTACAATTTAGTGCTTAAGGCGTTGCAGGTTAGATACTAAAATTCTTAGTTTTTTTAGTAGGTATACAAATTAATTCATAGTTCTTTTCCATTTTCTCGTTTATTTAAGTCTACGATTTTATTTGCATTTAATAGTTTGATATAATTCAACTGTGATATTTTTAATCAGATTTTCTTCCTGATCTCGTTGACGATATTTTGTTTTGTGCTTTTTATAATTGGTAACTCGTTGTGTTATTTTATGTGTTAGTCGGTCTTTTTAAGAGATAACATTTTGAAACCCATTTTCCAATAGAATGGATAAATTCATAATGAAATTGTGTTTAACCATCCAAAAGTACAATACTTGCTTTCACGCTGCGAATTCCCACGATGTTCAATTAGCCCTTTAATCGAGGCGTTACATCCCACATAAGAGGATTAAATACTTACCTTCATACATAGTACGACTTTTCAGCCACGGTAAAAGTGAATTCGGTAAAGTCAAATATTGAACGTGCCGTTGTTAGGCAAGATACATGAAAAGTGTGCACTCACTTCGTAATAGAAAGTCATACATAATGTCTGTAGTTTGTATTTCTATCCCAAACTTTAAATTATTTTACACCTTCAAATGATTTTAATCATATTTCCACGAAATCTCTGTTTAGATTTATTGACATAAAAAAATATGGAATATTTTATATAGTTCATAGTATAAATGTATACAATAATATGTTTTTACTTACTAAAATAATGCAGCCTGTGCGCTTTTGATTACATACTGCGTATGGCGTACGGCAATATTGAATGACGCAACAGTTGCGTCAACGGCAGAAATGAATGATACGTAAATTATCCTTCAATGGAAATGCGTTTCAATTAGTTCGTAAAAACACTGTTTCCTCGATCTATTATTTACATATTCTGTTACGCATGGTTCGAACTCATCTCAAATTCATCAGTCAATCAATGATGCCGTGGATCAGTATCTTGGTCGACGACGATCCCCAAGGTATACGACGCTTTCTACGGGCCGGAATAACTTTTACCGCGCGCCGCGAACGTTTTGAATATTCACCGGGTACTGGGATCCGTTCGGTTCATCTGTTTATGTGAATATTCAATGATTTTGCCGTTGCGCCGGTTCGTTTACTCGGTACGGCAGCGCTAGCCTTGCCTCGCGCGTTTCCACGGTGTCCCAATCAAATCTTTCCTAAACCGCGCACAAAGGTTTGTCATCGTTACATCTGATTGCCAACGGAATTCTTCTTTTTCTCTTCCTATCTGCAATTGCAAATGCATTCATAGATTTTCTTCTCAACAAAACAATTAGAACACTGCGTTTAAAACGTGGACTAGAGCATGATGTAAAAATATTATACTTCTTCATTAATTGAGATAGTCCATGATTGTAGTTTTGGAATATTCGTCACATTTTTTGGTGCATAAATGAGGTATCCTTGACAGCATATTTCAAGCTTAAATTCATTCGAGATGAGTAAACACCATGTTTAATTATAATTTACTCATGAAATACATAATGTCGACAATTTACGCTGGTAAATTTTATATTATGTAACTGGCAATATATGAAAAGCACTCATTGTATATGTAGAATGCCTAGGCAATATGTAAAGTGTCCGGTGTTTTTGAGTATGAAGTGATTAACATTTCACACGTTTCCTAGGTACATTATAGTAGAATAGATAGAATGCATACGTAGAATGCCGATAACAATAAAGGCAGATTAATTGCACTATGTTCTTAAAAAACATAAATCATCCGAGATATATGGACCTGTTTTAACCAAATCGTACCTGGGAAAGTGTAGAATATCAGAATAAACCGGATAATTCACACTTTGCCGAAGCAATGCCAGGTATTCTATATGTATATTACCTGTTTAGACATTCTATACAATGTCAGCTTCAGAAATTCTATGCAATCTTGTATTTTATTAATTCATCTTTGAGAGTCTCGTTAGAAGAATTTCGCGCTACAAATGCGACTTTGACAACACGCACGCACATATACGAACGCGGTATTAATTTGTCAAGTTCGTAAATGATTCCACGGCCGTGCGTCGAACTTGCCCCGCGATGCGTGAAATTGCGACCGCACCGCGAACCATCGGACACAACGTGGTTCTGTGGGCAAAATTTTAATTTGCCATTTCCAGTCAGCGTCCCGCCGCCGCATCGTTGCGTGCTGGAATTTAGCTGCGCGTAAAGATTCGCCGGTCTTTTAATCGTCTAACATCTATTGTTCTCCGTGGAATTTAATTTCGTAGAATACTTTCGCATGAACGCATCACGAAAATGGTTTTCGCTTTTGCTTTCCACAGGGAAGAGAAAAATGTCAATTTTTTGCATAGAAGCGTTGATAAAATGAAAATATCCGAACTGGAATTCACAAAGTAAATTCTATGTGGGTATTGTTATACAATTTTGAACAGTAATTTTGTAAGTTAGAGTCAACAAATTTTCCCTTTCACATCAATATTGGCAATCTGTACGTGTTCACAAACTTGAGTTTCAAAACACATGAGAAACAATCGATTGAGAATCGAGAGACAGAGACTGAGAGGATTATCAAACTTAAGCGACGAGACATCATCCAAGAGCATCGGATTGCCAATAACGAGAATAACGTTGACACTCGATATGGAATCAGTCGCCTCGTGATGTTAAGAGCGAGACCGTCATTCACGTTCAGATTGAATTAGGGTTCGCATTCGGCTGATATCCATTATTAATCTCCGGTCGAGTGCGTTGATCATACCCGCTCGCTAAGAGAGATCGCTTTATACTTCGGCCTCGATTTATTGCTAGTCTGTTCACACGCTGAAAGCGCGCGAGATACGAACCAAACGGCTTAAAACGCAAATCAAATACTGTCATCGACTATTAAACTGCGGGTATTTATGCAACATCACATTTTTTAAGCAATTTTCTTAAAGCATGATCTAAATTAATTATTTTATGTACTCTTTTAAGTTATGTGCACTACATCACGTGGAAATTTTATAAATTAAATCGATGATATTCATGAATTCTGGAATAGAACATATATTCCATGTATCTCCAATTTACTAATGAGATACGCAACGTTGACACTATAGACTGATAAATCTTATGCAATGGTAAATATGTGCACTAGCGTATCTCACATACGTTCATTCTAGTATCTATTTGTTCATGTAGCTAAACATTGAAAAGAGAATTTTCTTGAATTTAATCTTATCATTAATGGCTTCAGGTATGTAAATCATAACAGATTATATAATCTCGTAATATGTGCACTTTGAAAATATGGGCGTGTAAGCACAGTCTTGTTTCTATTTAGTAGCTTAGTCTAACTAAGCTTCATCGATGTCTCGTTCGCCAGGTAGTCGGTAATCTGGGCTTATGCAGATAGGAGGATCAGTAGAGATTAATTACTCATTCGGCCCTCGGTTGGATCCCATTGACTTGAGATTCCGGTCTCTATACCTCCAATCTTGTTCGATCTCAGTTAAGAAATTCAAAGAATTCCTATTTTGACGCAAACTGTCATTGATTGAATCTGAAGTTTCTCTACCATGTGCTAAGCCCTGTTTTAAATTCTGTTAATTAGTGAACTGCGCTTTCTATAATTGAATAACTTTTAATTCCAAATCTGTAGTTTCCATTTATGTTAGTAAATTAAATTATGTCGAATACATCGTAATTAAATGTGAATATTAGTAATCAATTTTAAGTTAGATCATATTTTATTAGAAGTTCCATTAGAATCAGTCTAAACGCAAGATTTATTTCACTAATATTTAACATTTTAGTGGCATTATTTTTGCATTACTTCTTTACATATTTGCTCTTATCTCTCCTCTGTATCTCCTTGAAATATCTAAAATCCTTCTCATGTTCTTCTTATTAAAATACTGTGTGAAAGAAACGTGATCCAACCTAATCTTATGTTAGTTTAAAATGTGAACGATTCAATTATAAAACGTTTATCACCAGACGCCAAGATTTTCACTCTGATTTGCATAAGTTGCCCTCATTTTTTGTACTGATTATTCATTATCATCTAATAATGTGTCTAATCAAAATAATTAATTGCCAAGATAAGCATTTCTATAAATAAAAACTAGCCGAACGGCGATATTTTTGCTTTCTAATTAAAAGGCTGGATTACCGTAAGTCGAACAAACCAAGAAGCGAGAAAATCGCATTTGGCTTGTTGAAAAATCGTAGGAGGCGGACTATCGGATGTAGGGTAAGCAAGAGAAACGAGAAAACTCGGGCACGGACACCGAGTTAGACGCTCGCCACGGCGATTAGAGAGGACTTTCGGGTCGGGTCGCGCAATAAGTCACTGTGTTGCCTCCGAAAAAAGAAAACGCTCCTCTTTTTTCTCCAATAAAAGCCGAATCGCGCGTGACCGGTGTCCCAGGAACTTGTTTCTCAGGTACACTGTCGGCCAGAAGTACTACGACACTTTATATGAAGTGGAATATCAAAATTATAAATTATTAAGATCAATGGGTTTTTGTAAGAAAGTCAGTAGGTAGATTCTATTTAGATGACAATAATTTATTATTCTGCGCGGTTTCTTTACTAATAACATTATCGAGAGCGATACAATTTGCTCATGTCATTGCAATCTGCTTTTGTCAGGTGTAAAAATCGAGACTCGAGTCGGTGCAACCGTCGGAGCGAAATAAATACGCAGTAGTCGTACAGCGATTTTCTCACACATACACATAGCACATATACACACCCCAAACGAAACAGTTCCAGAAAGAGTCTGCTTACATGATATACAATATGTATGTACATGTTCAAAATAAAATTTAATTTTAATTAATAATATTTTACATGTATAATAATTGTTGTATTCCTTATTGTAATGTTTCATACAATGGTGGATACAATAATTAATACAGTAAGCGAAACAAGATTTCACAAAATGGGCGATACAATAATTAATATAAAAATAAATTTATATATTTAAATAAAATGCACATAAGATCATTTTTAACGACTATCTCACGATAACTTAACATAGCAGGTTTAATATTTATAGCCGGCAGTGTATCTACCTTATCTCGCTTGATTGCGGACCAAGAAACATTTTACGATTTGTCCCAAAAAAACAGCTGTCCGTTGTCGAACGTGTGATTATCGTAATCCTTGTGCAAGGTACAGGAACAGGTTGCAAAAAACAGAAGAAAATATTGACGTTAAATCCCAACGGAAAACGCTATAGCATACCCGATTAATTCCTAAAGTTACGTGACGTTCAAGTTACATAACATACAATCTTGTGACATAGTATAGAAAGGTGAATAATAAATATTGAATAATTGCAATATAATATAATACTGCGTCATTACTTCAGAATATTTTATAGCAATGAATCCAAGAATTGGTAAAATGAAAATTCTGATGTTCCGAGAAGAAAACAAGGAAGATATTTACAGAAAATGGCAAACGTAGAAAATATCAATATGGAACTCGGTATTTTCACTGATAGAACTCTACGTATTCATTTCCACGGAAATGAGCAAGCTTTCCATTTAGACTGCGTATAAGCCTGTTTGTGTTTGCCCACTAGCAGAACGGTGGGCGCACAGACGAAAGAAAAATCCTGTCGAATCGTTTGTTCGCGATAAGAATCGTCGAAGAAAAACGAACCGAGAAAAATCGGTATTACGTTTGACGTTCTTCTAGGAAAAATATGCGCTTTATTTAAATGGGAGCCACGCTAAGAGACTCCTTTGACACCCTTCACGTCTCCTTCTCGCCCCCAACCTTTCCTACTTTTTACCGTCTTTTTTCCGCCCGTCGCGCGTCAAATAGCGCTAAGTTTGCGGAAGTGATGGATCATTTTACGCGTTGTCGTTTCCCTCCAAGGACCAAGATGGAAAAGTCTCAAAATGCTTAACAAATATATCGTGATGTCCAATCGATTACTTTTAGAACATTGAAGGCTTTAGAACACACACGTTTATTATAATGTTCGTAATTATGCTAATTCCAATTTATTATCATCTCCAGTCAATATACTCTGCGATACTGATGAAATGAGAAGTTAATGCAACGATGCACGTATGCTGTTAGTTGCAGAAATGTTATTAAATATAATGTATTGTCAAATAGATAGAATAAAATTGTCTGTAAACGAACATTGGTCACATTTTCTATTATGTTAACACTATAAAGATTGTTATGTATTACCAGAAATAACAGCAGAAAGTGAATAAGAAAATGTTACACATTTTGACGTGCATAAGTAGAACGTTCGCGTCTTCGATCGCTCGAGACGTTCGAGCGCTTTGCTATTCTGCAGTAAAACGCGTTCAAGTGTTTTCACGTCAGAAGTGAGTCGACATCAAAAGCACAGTGTTACAAGAGAAAATCTATCTACTACGATTCACAAACAGAATTATTGAAATTTCTTTGACTGGTTCGAATTTTAGTCGCCTACGGAACATTGGGAACAGTCCATATTCATATAAATGCTATTTCAAGAGAAAATTGAAGTTTATTTCAATAGTAATTCTATAGATACAACTCCATTTCTCCTTATTTGCACTATCACGCTATGTGAAAATTGTATAATCGTAATCATTCAATTTTCGAAGAGATCAATATAATTATTATAGCAAAAATTTAATATAATCCTAATTGGTCATCGAATCCCAATCAAAGTTAGAATAAAATTAGTATTTAAATATCTTAATTAAGCTGTATAAATATTTTCCATTTTATTAATTTCAATCTTAATAATACATGGATTTGTATGATATAACTTATAATTAATGTACAACATATAATTTATTTTAAATGTGTTCTGACTCTAAGTATTTATTAAAGTACTGAGAAATTATTGAGTATTATTTATCAATATTCTTTATAAAACTGTACACCATCCAGCAACCGTTAAATTGTTGACATTCTTAAGTAAAATTCACCTACTCGTTTAACCTAGAAAAGGCTAATCACGGTAAGTAAATCCGAAAACGTTTCGTGTTGGTAGATAAAAAAAGAAAGAGAAGAAGAGACATGGCGACAGCGCCGAATGCGGGTAAAACCGGCAGAGTTTTTCTCCAAAGGATACGTTTTGGGCTGGACAGGCAGCCAAAGCGTAAAAACATTTGGCAACGGGAGCAGACGGCGACGACGCGACGCGTCCAGAGAGTCCAGAGAGAACCGTCACGCCGTTGTCGCGACCGTCGCGAAACTTTTCCGAGCGCGACACGCCGTTCGCTATTTTTGTCATTCCGGCTCGTGTTCCGCACGTAAAATTCCGCAATAAAGGCGCGCTCCGCTCGCGAGCAGGTGTAATCGAAATGCAAAACGTCCAGAGTCACGCGAAAAGTCGACGCCGCGCCGCGCCGGCCAGCTGTGAATCTCAATTTTGCGTATAACTGAACGTAGCTGCGCAAACAGTGACTAAGGCAAACTTCCTATCGGTTTTTGAACGACGGATGTGATAATTTCCTCGAATAATTTACCAACGGTTTATGTAAAATTCAAGGTCTCTTGAAAATATGGATATGAAGTTACATTAGGCAATTATAGTTACATTGTTCCTTTTACAATATCGATAAATTTAACACAGCATCTTTAATAATACAATATGTTATAATCGATTATGGACTGCTGAATGAATAATTTTATACATAATTTCGAGAAATAAAAGATACACTTAGTTTTAAACAAAAATACTTAATATTAAGCAACATTTATAATCAGTAGAATGTAGAGCGAAAATTAATTAGCTGTTTTAGGTCAATAAAAAATGATATAACAAAAAAATAGAGTAGCTATATGTACATCTTTTGAAGCAGGCTGTGTTGCACAACCTTTGTAGGCTTATCTACATTGACCAGTTGGAAATATAATAATTAGTGAGCTTACTTTAAGTTTTCTCTCGAGCGGCATGGTAGTTCTTACGCTTTTTTACGAAAATTGTACTAGCGCAGGCAATCAAAGTTCGTAAGACATTACGCGTTTTTGCTGTCGCGCCGGTTAAATAGGCGCGAAACTCCTAAACTATAATTAACATCGCCGCGAGCGCGAGTACAAAGTATAGCTCATGGACGCCAAGAGCTTCCCTCTCTCGCGCCGATACTTACAGTTATCTCGAAGGAACTTCGTGCTATCCGGCTTAATGTTCCCGCGTAATGGTGGAAATTTACGGAAATGCACTTCCTTTCTTTTCAGAGCCGATGCTACGTGTTCTTGTTACAAGCAGGAAAAGTATACGGACTGGTAACACGGGTTGTGTAATAGGCGTTTCGCGGTTAAGAGGTTTTCCCACATTGCGATGCGCATACGGATATGGAAAACCGTATACACGTGTAATCGACAGCATCTCTCATTTTCATTCAGTTTTGACAGTTATAATTACTAAACATCATTTTAATAATTTTGGATTACAATGAGAACAATAGGTCAGTTATGACACACGTAAGAGAAAATCAAAGACAAGTATGTATAGCTTGAAACAATAATTCTCGATTTTTTAGTGCGTTAGTTTCTTTCATGGAGGAGAAGACCCGATACATCGATCCCTTCTGGTTTTCAATGCTCGATTAACATGCTTGATTAAGGTTGTATGAGCCGTAAGATATCTGCCAAAAGTTTAAGATATGTAATAAAAAATTGGGTTCAATATTTGAAACAATGAACTTTTAGAAAAAATGATAATTACAGAGGATTAAGGTTTATAAAATTGTTCGACCTTTTTCTCGGTCATAAGGAATTTTTAATGCATAATTTCTAATATTC